CCCCCCCCCCCCCCCCCCCCCCCCCCCCCCGCTGCACCTACCAGGCGGGGGAGGGGCCGCCGCCTCGCCTTCCGGGAAACCCACCGCCGTCCTCCTATACCAGCTCCTCCGCCCGGATGCTGCCAGGGTCCCGGAGATGCCCTGAAACCTGCTCCCGTCAGAGGCCCAAAGCCACCGGGGTCCCTGCAGGCAACCCCAGTGAAGGGTGTGGCTGGGAAGGCAGGCGGCAACTAGCGGGGTGGCTGCACCCCTGCCCCACCCCTCCTGGCTCCCAAGGCCAGGGTGGCCTGGTGGGCGATGGGGGGAGGGATGGGCACAGCTCAGGGGCTGTGGGGGATGGACCCCAGATGGAGGCTGGACCCCAGATGGAGGCTCTCAACATGTTGGTCTCAGGACGTCGGGTCCTTGCCCCCTCCACACTCCACCGTCCGGGACGCAGAAGGACCCTTCCCTCCGTCCGCCTCTCCCAGGGCGGGAGCTTTCCTCATGGGTCGGCCCTCTGCCCCTGGTCCACCCTGACCCTCAGATGGACAGGGAGGTGGGGACCAAGCCTCCAGGCTACTTTTCTCGTGGTGGGGGAAGCCCTGCAGCCCCTAGGTTGGCTTGCATGCTCTGGGGACAGGGGACAGGACGGGTTCCGGGGGCCCTCCCCATTGGCCCTGGCAGCAGAGGCGGCTTCCCCTTGGGGCCCTTCTGACCCTACCGCTTTGGGGCAGGCGAGGTAGAAGCAGTATCTCTCAAGCCGGGACATCCCAAACACGCCTAGTTTCGTTAATTACGAGGTGGAAGGGAGGAAGCGGCTCGGAAAGGGGAGTTTGCTGCCTGAGCCGAGGGGCACCTTCCTCTTCACACCCAGGGGCAGATGTCCCACGAGCTCCGCCAGCGCGGGTCTGTGTCTGTGCAGAACCGCGGGCAGGGGCAGAACCTTCCCAGCGCTGGGTGCGCGGCAGCCTCCGTACCGCCTCCCTGGGTCTCTAAGGGTGGGCGCGGAGCCCGGGCAGCCCAGGCGGCCGAGGAGGGAGGAGGAGGCCCGGCGTCCCCGGCCTTGCTCATCTGCACCTGTGTTAAGGGGTCCTGGAACAAAGAGCCACCCGTGAGCGGCTGATGGCTGATGTAACGGAGGAGAGGCGTGGAGGGAAAGACAGCAGTCACATGTTATTCTGGAAATACTGAGATTGCTGAAATGCAAAGAGTAAAAGTCACTGTCTGAACATATTTGGTGGCGCTACGGGGTCAGTTTCTGGGTCCGACCTTGCCCTGAAGCTATGCAAGGTGTCTCCAGGAGGGGACGGTGCAGTTTCTGTAGTTTCAGACTGAGCAACTGAACAGCCTCCAGGCGGACGCAGGAGCCCTGCCCTTGACCCCCAGACGTGCTCCGCCTCCCCGTTACCTGCCCCCAGTTAACTGTCCGTTTTCAAACATGAATGGGCGTCTGTCCATGCCTCCAACAGCTGGCCGCCTAGACCTCAGGGGTGCCGTATCTTCACTGGGAAGTCCTCCCAGGTACGACGATGCTAGGTGGGAGATGGGGCAAGACAGCCGCAGGTCACCACAGTCATCACCGACGGGGTCTGAAGACGACCCAGGACCCACGCAATGTGCTCCTGGGGAGCAGACGAGACTCCTGTCCTGCCTGAGAGGTTCGGAGGCAGCTGGGTTTGGAGGGTTATATCCCTGGACTGAGACCATCTCCCCACCAGCGAGCGGGGCTGGGCTGTCAGGGGGGAGAGGGGCCAGCACCCCAACCACAGTCCCCACCTCCCCCAAGCCCACACCTGCCTGAGAATGTTCTTGCTTACAAGCTGTGGGACATGCTGTCCACGCAAGCACTGGTCTTCCCTGGAGATGACTGGGGCCAGGACGCCTGGGCAGCTGTATCGGCCTACTGGACACCCTCCCCTGGAGTGAGGCTTCTGAGGCCGGGCAAAGGAGGCCAGTCCACACAAGGGAGGGGGAGGGTAGCTGAGTCCCTGGCACTTGGGCCTCCGGGAGGCTCAGCAGGGCTGAGCTTGCTGGCCACGCCTGGAAGCATCGCAGGAGCCCCTCTGAGACAGGGCAGGAGGCCTGCTCTCTGTGCACCCCTTCTCCTGGCTGAGAGAAGGGCTCCGTGAGCTTTCCACATGGGGGTCTGGAAGTCCAGCTGCCCCAGGAGCTCCCTTACTGTGGCCCCAGAGCCAGGACTCCAGGTGACCACACAGAGCACTGGGCAAGTGCAGGACAGGCCTGTAGAGGTTTCGGAGGGAGTGGAAACAGGCACGGGAATGCGGGGGCAGGGCCACTGGTGCTGGGACCCCTGCCCCTGCGTCCACGCTCCATCCAAGAGCCCACGTTGACCCGGCCCTACTGTTGGACCCGGCTGCTGGCGAAGTGGGACTGTCCTCGCAGCTGCCACCAGCAGCAAGCACACGCAGCCTCGCGGCCACCAGCACAACCTCACTGAGCCGGGCCAGCTGCGGACGGGCAGAGGCGAGCAGCGTGGGAGGGCGAGAACCTCAGCGGAGAAGGTCCTCGGAGCCTAGAAGGGTGCCTGGCCACGGAGCCACGAGGATCTGCGAAAGGAAGGTGGCCGGGGAAGGTGGCCAGGGGTGGGGTGGGAGGGAAGATCTCACTGAAGGTGCTTCTGTGTCCACTCCTCCTTCTTCACCCCTGCATTTTACCTTGAGTTCTCCAGGACAGGCCCTGGGGTAGAAGTGCTTTTTGGGGTTACTGCAGGAAGCAGAAGGAGGGAGTGGGCAAGTCACTGATACTGGGGGGTGTTGTGGAGGGGTCACTGCCACGGCAGCCCTGCGGGGGGGGGCACCCCTGGCACGTGGGCTGTGGGGTGAGGGGGCTGGAGGGAGCCTCGGGCAGAGCCGCCAGAGGCCAGCAGGTGGCCCGTGGGAAAGGCAAGCTTCTCCCGCCTGCTGAGGGTGAACGCGCGGGACCTCCACCTAGCTGAGGGCCCAGGGAACCCTACCCGACCCACAGCTTTGGGGCTGCCTGAGTGGGCTAGCCCAAATGACCTCAGGCTCACTGAATCAGACTGTTTCCTGGCATGTCTGGGCGCAGGCCTGGGCAGGACAACTGGCCTCTCAGTGAAGACGGTTCA